ATYTAAAGTTTAAGGTTTAGCGCTAAAAATACTACATGCGTGTAGTCAGATAAGAAAAAGTCGATCCAGCTTATATAGAAAAGAAATCAATGAAAGTAGAACTCAAACGATATACAAGCAGTGATTAAACAAGTAGCAGTAAATACAATGAATTGCATTTCGTTGACTTTGTAGTTTAACTTTTTTATTCTTTGCACGATCACTATCAGTACAATRCAAGCCCGCAAAAGGGTGTTGGGGGATGGTACCTCCTTCGAACCTATTAAAATAAATCTTATTGTGCAGTTGTTATTTTTTCAAAACAATTTATGTGCTGATATGCATCTCTTTAGATTTTCCTATCACAATCAGAAGCCTTCATAGTACCCTTGTTGATTCTTCGTGGTATAAGTCGAAATTGTTTTTAAACGTGACAGTGATTGAAAAGGTCATCAATAGACGAAACATGTTTCATTGAAAGTCTTGGTATTAGTGTGTCAAAAGAGTWTGTTTAAAAACGAATTCACATGTACCATAAAGCTTACAAACTATTTGATGAACAAATTTAAGAAAAGTTTCCAGAAAGTCGYATTGATTCATTTAAGGTCAAAGAAATTCAAAACATCGTTAACCTATAGAATGCTGTGACGAAGAGTTCATAATTTCCAAACCAATGGCAAATATCAGAAGTTACAAAAGAGCAATTCATAAATCAAAAGAACGATCAACCAGTGAGATGAATTTGAAATACGTGGAATTCACAGGTACCAGGCTAATCGGCTTAAGATGCACAGCAGAAGACTGTTCATAGTGGCGTTAGTCTGAGTCAGTTAGAAAACAGAAAACAGAATCGGAAACTATGAAATTGCAATGATGTTAATTAAAACTAATACGAGGATCAGAAAGAAAAGGATACTCGATTTCAATACTGATCCATGATGTTTCTTTATTACATTATTTTGGTTTTCCGTGGATTTCCCGCGCTCGCGTAATTTATCGCGACTATACTTATTGGTCGAAAAAAGCTTATTTCAGAAACATCTATAAAAACACCGCGACAAAAACCAATAAACATGAAGGACGCTCCTAGTAATTGTCTACTATGAATGATAATATAGTTAACAATAAGTGTGCTTCATTCAGTTTACTGAAAATGCATTATTCAGCTGTAGAAGTAATCCTGGGACGTTGTCTCTGCGTGTGATTACTGGTCTCTCTCTTCACGTAACGATGTTATAACGTACGCACTTTGAAATTCAAACAAAATCCCTGATAACACTGGGGATGCAACATCTATCGGTTGTTTTCGTTCAGAGTGAAGTGCGTCAAGGAATTCCTAGTTCCTATACTGTTACAGTATTTATAAAGGAAGATGAGTGTTATGTATAGTTTAAAACTCGAGAGAGAGCTGTGTTTTACTTTTATCAGGTCAAGATTCGAGCCGAAGACGAGAATCTTTATACCTGATAAAACACGATCTTGAGTGTTTTAAACGGATTCAAAAACTCCAACACTAATTTGAAACTAAAATTCGTTAAAATTCTTGGAGAAATTGCCGTACAAATATGTTCTGAGATAAATAGGGCAAACTGATCATGCGCGAATCACTTTACAACACTGGAAAAAATCGCGCGCTTTAAAGGTTGTAAATTTGATGTAAATATGATGTAAGTGTCCAAAATTCTGTGAATTTAATGGAAATCATTTACAACAAATTTACAGAATTTTGGACACTTACATCATATTTACATCAAATTTACAATCTTTAAAGGGCGCGATTTTTTCCAGTGCAAAGCACCCTTATCATCCCACATTGAATACGCATAAAGTAAAATAGAACCGCTCTTGGCTGTTCACTAGAAATGGTTGACATCCTGTATTGGTCAATGCTGAGACCTTTGCTAGGGTCATGGACCTTTATATCTGATAAAGGTCACCCTTATTAGTATTCTTTATATAAACAATACTAATAAGGAGTGTTTTATCAGATATAAAGGTCCATGTATGTGACAAAATAGGCTCATTCTATTGGCCTAAGAACTCATTAATTATGTATAAGTTTTTGAAGTAAGCTCGGATTCATAACTCAAAACATCTCATTCCTAGCAGACAAGGCTACATTTGTCAAAACCCTCACTCATCATG